TTCCTGGGGGGGAAAAAAAGACACCTTCTCCCAGGCCCAGAAGCACACCCCCCATCCACAGCTTCCTCTTCACCCTGCTCTCCTGGGTCAGTGGGCAGGAATTGCGGCCAGATTTGTGTGTCTTCCAAGACAAGTGACCAAGAAACCTGAAATTGTTGGTGGGGGGTGGGCAAGAGAAGGTTCAAGAAGGGATGACAAAGTCTGAAGTCTTCATTCCCTTTAAGAAAAGGAGAAGATTGCAAGCCAGAAGGTGTGCTTGGGAAAGATGACCCAGGCATACAGTGGCTCAACATTTTAATTATAGTCGAAGGGGTGGGGTTGCCTCAGGAGCCTTTGCTCACGTGTGCTGAAATGTCTGCTCCGAGCTGGCCTCTGACAAACAGCTGAGCACTCGCCCAGGCACCTTGAAGCTGGTGAGGGCAGCCTGACTGCCGACAGCCGATTCAGCACCGAGCCAGCAGCGCCGTGGGCCTTCCCAGCCGCAGGTACCTGCCTAGGGCCCCCCTTTCCATAGGCGGCTGAGCCAGGCCAAGGCAGTGGGCTCTTCCAGAAAGGCTTGCTGCTTTGGCTGATCTGAACGGGTTAACATCCTTTCTTGGTCTGGGTGGAATTTACAACTGGTGTGTTCCACCGTGTTTGAGAGTGGGAGGAGCCCCACCGGACGGTGTCCTCTCAGGGTCAGTTCTTAGTTACTGTGTTGTTATTATCAGTACTGGTTATTGAACAAGTAGGACAGATTTTGAGAGCAAGGCATGGTTGCCTTTCATGCCCCAAACCTCCTCCTCCCCTTCTTTTTTTTTTTTTCCTCCTCGGACCCTTCCGATTCTTCTTTCCTGATGTAGCTACTCACACACCGTATTGCCCCTGCCAGAACCCATTTCTGGGCAACATGAATATTAGTCATTTGCACCATAGAGTAAATAAGTTTATGTGAGTCAGTCTTTGTATCTTGATTTGGGACTAAAGGGCTGTGTCTATTGTTTAAGCATTTAGGGCTTCTGGGCAGGAATAGGAGGAATTTTCAAGGTGGGGGAAGGTCACTTACCTCTAAAATAATTTTTAAAAGTGCATATAGTCCCCTTTCCTCTTTCAGAAGATTGGATGTTTTCAGGCATTCTGGATTAAACATAATTTTCAGTTGTTGGCAAGAGAATCCAATGTCTTCCCAAGTAGTTAGTGTCAGAAGTGAATTGAATTGTGGGACACGCAGTTGTTGTCGGAACTGGTTCCTGCTGTGGGAAAAAGCCACACATTTGGTGTCAGAAGTGGTGTGAGTTAAAAAAAAAAAAAAAGATAAAAAGCTTCATCCCTCAACCAAGGGCCGAAGTTATCTAGAGACACAGGAAGTTGACCGTGGTTTGGAGAGAGACAGTGCCCTTGCCCCTTTCTGTGTCTTTCATTGGCTAATGACCTCAGACTAAGGAAGAGGGAGGGCAAAATGCTAAGTCCATGGAGCCAGCATCCCTATGGTGACCACGTCATGCCTTCCAAGGAAGCTCTGACTTCCCGAAACTGTGTGAGGTGGTGACCCGCAGCCTTGGTGGGAAGTCCACTGCGACCTACAGGCCCAGCAGCCGGTTCTTAGGGCTCACTAGTTGGTGGTGACGCAGGCTGTTTGGAAAAGCAGCTCAGGTTGTTGGCAGCTGGCACAGCTCACCCCGTGACCCGGGAACTTGGCTTCCGCTGAGCACACTGCTGGGTCAGGCAGGGAAGGCCTCCTGGGCTCGGGCCCACACAAGGGCAGCTTCCCCAAAGCGCCAAGAGGTCTTGAAGGAGCAAGTCTCTCTGTCTGTGTTCAGGCTCGTCATGCCCAGGTGCCAGTTTGGTCTGCAGACGTTGTTTCCCTCATGCCAGACTCCAGAGAGGGCTGGTTTCTAGGATATGCAGCTGGTTGTGTGGTTCCTGCATTGTCCTGGCCTGAGCCTGCCAGCTTTACTCCACCTGCTGTTTTCATGCCCTTCCAAGCTCCGCCCTCTCCCAGGTGTGCCAGTCTTGCCTCTACTTTGAATAAACACACAGGCCCAGGAGGCTTCCTTTGAGGACTCTTGGAGTATTAGTCATCTTCCTCCGAGATTAGTCCTCCCAGAAGCTGCCAGGCTCTCTGTGTTGACAGCATTCAAAAAAGAGGGACGTCGGTAGAGAAACAGGCTTCCCGGACCCTCCTCCCTGCCGCCCTTTCCACCTTTGTCTCTCTGAAGACCTGTTCATTTTCAGGCCCCAAGCAGAAGGAACCTTCCCTTCCCCGGGTCCCACCGCAGCTCGTGCTTGTCGGATATTTACAGTCAGGCGACCACCGCCACAGTCGAAATAGAACAGAATTGCCCCCCAAATTTCTGCATGCTCTCATAGTCAAAGCCTCCCTTCACCCCAGCCCCTGGCAACCACTGATCTGGTGTCTCCCCAGTGTTTTGCCTTTGCAAGAGCATGCACGGGGATCGGAAAGCATGTAGCCTTTTCAGTCTGGCTTCGTTCACTCAGCATAAAGCACTTGTTATGTGTATCTGTGGTTCATGCCTTTTCACTGCCGAGTACGCATAACATTTTACCCAGATGTCTGCATGGACCTCTTCTGTCCTCTCCTGATAATCTGGATGTTTTTCTGTCTGTCTCCTCGGTGCCCAGCCACGCCCATCCAGGGCTGGCCTGTGCCTTGCCTGCCTCTGTGTCCCCAGCCCACACATAGTAGGCCCGTGACAGAGCGTGGGGCCAGGGCAGCTGGGCACTGCCTCGCCAGGGGGTCCGAAGTGTCTGCCTGGGGCAGCAGGGCCCCTGCAGAGGTGTGGCCCAGCCTGGGCGCCGGCTCTCTCCAGGCCCTGGCTGCTCG